CAGTTCCGAGTTAAGAGTTTTGCCGTAGGGGAACAGCTCATAATAGATAATTCCCTGCCAATCCCACCAAACACACAGCAAAACCTTCCTGGCCGTCAATCCTGGCTTGGCCACCGTTTCCGCCGGCTCACCGCGATTCGACCATGACCGTTTTCGCTTGACGTTGTCGTAAGTGATCCACTTTTCATCACCAGTGACCAACCGCTTCAGAAATGGGTCGATTTTGTTGCGATTCAGCAGCGATTCGCAGATAGAAATTCGGTCCATGAGGTTCTTTTGCGTTAACTCGTGTGACACCCATACATCGAGCTTCTTTTTGTATGCAGCCTTATTCAAATGGTTCCAAACGGTTTTTTGTGCAATCTTTAGCTCTTGGGCAATCGAAACAGTGCTTACATGACGGTCGGACTCGACAATGTCCATGATTTTATCGATATTTTCGACAATTGGCCTACCAGTGCGTGGTGCATCTTTGACATCGAAATTACCGGAACGGAATCGACGAAACCAAAATTGCGTGTGATTGGCTGTTACAGTATCAGGACCATAAACACTATTCACATTTTCAGCCGCCTGGCTTGCGTTTTCGCCTTTATCGAAGAAAAACTGTAAAATATAGCGTATTTTCTCTTTGCTAGTGTCCATCTTTGACGCGCGCTCAAACAAAACTGAGTCAACTAATCACAAAACTGTCAGAAAAGTTTTTTTACTACGAAATCTCATCTTTCTAACGCCATCTAGTGGAACCCGATCGGACTTATACAACGCGAGATACAGATAACTAAAGCCATCTATTGGAAAAATAATGGATTTCTTTTTACTACACCTGATATTACGAGTTGTTACAGCCGGGTGAAACAGTAACGGCAGATCGCTATCAGCAACAATTGAGCAATTTGAGCGGTGCGTTTGAAGAAAAGAGGTCATTTACTGGCAAAGGACGTCGTAAAGTGATACTGCTTCATGACAATGCCCGACCACATGTTGCGAAAGTGACTCAGGATATCTTTGCGTTAGGCTGGGAACTTCTCCCGCACGCGGCGTATAGCCCAGACATGGCGCCTTCCGATTACTACCTATTCCGGTCTCTGCAGCATTTCTTGGCTGATAGACATTTTGTGACACTTGAAGAGATACGAAAATGCATTGATGACTTTATCGCCTCGAAGCCGGTGAGCTTCTACCATCAGGGAATTCGCAAGCTGCCCGAAAGATGGCAAAAGGTCATCGATGCAAACGGGGAATATTTCGTTGATTAATATAGTTTTGTTTGTTTTTAAATAAATTTTGAATTTTTCAAAAAAAAAAGGCTCAGAACTTTTTTGCGCTCCTAATATAAGAATAAAATCCTCTATAATTTCGATGATTCCGCTTGTTCTAAAATTGCCTTTTTTGAGGTGTTGAGAGAAAGAGACTCGGGAGACCGAGGGTAGTGTTTATTGATAATAATTTATTATTAATGACGTGATGCATCATCCATACATTTCTCTTAATATCAACGGTTGTCTTAAATAACGTGTAAAGTGGGTGTATACTGCGTACAAAATGCGCACAGTGTCGACAGAGGCGTCCCCCCTACTTCCCTCGTTACTCCTCCTCTACGAAATTTGTGCATCCCTCGCTCTGTGAGTTTGTGTAGTACATATGTCCGAAGAATACGCGGAGGAATCGTTCCTCCGTTCGATCGTGTAAAAAACGTGTGCGTGAGAGAGAGAGAGAGAGAGAGAGAGAGAGAATATATCGTGATAACAAGGGATTGTCGGTCGGAACGCGTCGCGAAAACGCCTCCGACATCTGTAAGCTCACTGTCGGGCCGGTGGTGGTGTTATCTATTCACGTATATCACAAACATCGCAACGTGTATTCACGTGAATATGAATATACATGCTGTCTACTCGTATATTGCGTCCGTTACTCGCGGCGGTCGATCGCATCTGCGCAGGATGTGCCGCGAGAGCTCTCGTCGAGAGGAGTAATTTCGTATTTTCATATCTTGATTCCCTTTCTTCCGCAAAAAAGCCGACGAGAACTCAGCGAAGAGCCACCGATGTCGCCGTGATCGACGCGAAATTCACATCTCCGCTGCCTCTGAACTCTTCTCAAGGCTTCTCGCAAACTTTTATTTTTTCTCGTTTTTAAACGCAATGTTCCGCGAGGTTTGACGAAGCTCGGGGGAAAAAAACCAGGCGATGTTTCGAGTTCCAAGGAGAGACACTTGGTGTTCTGCTGTTTCTCGAATGTAGACCGGCTGACCGATTGAACGCAGGACTGACATACACTGAGAGCCTCGTCTCTCAGCGACCGCGTTGTAAACCAAATGCGAAATAACAATGGGAAATTGCACAGAGCACTTAGCCGGTCGCGTGACCGCCGGCCGGCGGTTCGGCGCAAAAAGGATCCGCTCCAGCGCTGCTGCACGCGACGCTATTACTGGACGGTTTGAAATACGAAGGACAATCCGCCCGACACACGTCGATACGTGGCGGTCGAGCGCGACCGCGAGAACCGAGCCCGACTCTTCGCATTCGTCCACATTGCTACCGGTTTAACCGCGACCGATCGCTATGCGCGCGAACGCACCATTCGCTCTCTGTGTGACGGTAATCATTAAATTATAATTAAATCTAAGACGCGTAGGTAGATAGGTAACTTGGTGTAATCACGGGTGAAAGTTCTACTGAGACGAGTACATGGGAAAAGAAAAACGGACCGATCGCGTTCTGCTTGAGAGAGACAGAATTCTTGGCTCTTGAAACCAAAATTGGTTCGCAAGAGCCAGAACTTCTTCTTCTTCTTGATTGTTGTCTCAGGATTTTTAGTCTCCTTGGAGTCGAATCTGCTCCGCAAGAAGCGGAAATTCTGTCTCCGTTGAGCAAAACACGCGTTTTGCTGGCTCATTCATGCTGTTCCATTAATTCAAACAATCTTTTCTCTTGAACATCAACCGACAGTAACGTTACGTCAATGTTATAAATAAGTTGCATCTGTTCACATATCACGTTCACATGGTCGAGTTGAAAACTGCAATATTGAGATAACGTTACCATTAATCGATGTGTTCACCGGGATAACGCAGCTTAAAATTACTTTCACGAGTATCACCGTGATCGAGGATCGCCTATGTTCAAAACCTAACTTCAATTTCTTGGACGCGTGACGAGCGAATGATACTCAACGTCAACGTGGTCGCTCGTCCAAGTCACGACAGTTATTTTACGATTTTCGCTCTCACAGTAAATGTTATAAAACTTGACGTCGTACGGAGAAGGGGAGTTGGTTGATCCGCCGCGTAAATGAGGATAATGATATGTTGCGTATCTCCTTGAATAAATTTTATACAATTAGACTACAAGAGAGAGAGAGAGAGAGAGAGAGAGAGAGAGAGAGAGAGAGAGAGAGAGAGAGAGAGAGAGAGAGAGAGAGAGACAGAGACAGAGACAGAGACAGAGACAGAGACAGAGACAGAGACAGAGACAGAGACAGAGACAGAGACAGAGACAGAGACAGAGACAGAGACAGAGACAGAGACAGAGACAGAGACAGAGACAGAGACAGAGACAGAAAGAATCTTTTTAGACTCTAGAAAAGGTGTATACACCGCGCTTCGCGCGTATAAAGTTAAAAAAGACGAGAACGACGAACAATCGAAAGAGACGCGCGAATGCACGCCATTTGGAAAAAACGCGCGTCGATGTTCCGCCTCTCCGATATCGGCTCGCATATCGGTATAAGCTCGTTATATTTCTCTCGCCCCCTTTTTTGGTTTGGACCGACAATTGATATTCTGCGTGTGTGTGTGTGTGTGTGTGTGTGTGTGTGTGTGTGCGCGCGCGCGTGTGTGTGTGTGTGTGTGTGTGTGTGTGTGTGTGTGTGTGTGTGTGTGTGTACGTGTGCGTGTGCGTGTGCGTGTGCTGTGCGTATGCGTGTGCGTGTGCGCGTGTACACCAACGCAAATATAATACACATATGCTCGTATATAAACATGCGTACGTATGTACGTAGCCGGTACATACGGCGGGTAAGAGACGTGTTCTTAGAGTAAGCGGAGTATTAGACAATTATTGCGTGAATCAGTGAGCGCGGTGCGACCAGGCACGCAGTCGGCCGACTGGCCAGCAACTTGGAGTGAGTCGCGAGCAAAGAAAATAGCTGTTTGTGATCTACCGCTACGGCGAACCATCATTCATCGTCACCGGGTTTGATGGCGAATTACGTCTTGGGAGTGACTCGTTATCGTTAAGCTCCGCTCGCTCGAGAAAACAACTCGTTGGGACCTTACTTGTTCGGAGAACTTAACTTTTCAACAACGTTACCATTTTAATGACGATGTCATAGTTACTCGACGAGTCGTTACAACTTCCGCTACACCCTTCGCGTCGAATTCTGGCGCTGCCGTCCGTTCCACGCATTCGCAAAGTAACGTCCCGGGTAACGACTACACTCGCTGCCGTTTCCGTCGCTGACGAAACAAATAAGTCGCCGAGTCGTTATTGAAGAAAGTGGCTTGTACTTTGGAATCAGTAACTTATAATTTGCGACTCGTGTAATTTGCAAGTTACAATCCTACAACGGCAATACTTCCTAATCCCGGTCGGTTAAATCAGGAATATGCGGCATGTCCGGTTTACTATAACGTATGGGTGCGAAACAATGCTCGACGAAGCTACCGTCGAGCGTATCGTGTGCGTGGCGTGTGTGCGTGCGTGTGCGTGCGTGCGTGCGTGCGTGCGTGCGTGCGTGCGTGCGTGCGTGCGTGCGTGCGTGCGTGCGTGCGTGCGTGCGTGCGTGCGTGCGTGCGTGCGTGCGTGCGTGCGTGCGTGCGTGCGTGCGTGTGTGCGTGCGTGCGTGCGTGCGTGCGTGCGTGCGTGCGCGTGCCGTGTGCGTGCGTGCGTGCGTGCGTGCGTGCGTGCGTGTGCGTGTGCGTGTGCGCGTGCGCGTGTGCGTGTGCGTGTGCGCGTGTGCGTGTGCGTGTGCGTGTGCGTGTGCGTGTGCGCGTGTGTGTGTGTGTGTGTGTGTGTGTGTGCGGGCGCGCGCGCGCGCGCGTGCGTGTGTATATACGGTGGTTTCCTCGCCATGTCCTCTTCCTCGCGACTCTTCGTTCCCGCGTCAACTCGCCGTCATCGATTACGATCCGCGAAGCCGTTGCCGAGGGAGACGAAGGCTCTCGCCCCGCGCATGACGATTCGCAGCCACTGTCCTCGTAGACGACGTCCCGACGTCCTCGATGAATCAAAGCCGCCTGGCATCTAGCGCCTTGTTGAGGTCACTGACTAGCATACCGAGGACGGATCTGTGCTCGGAATCGTATCTGAACACCGAGTCCAAAAACTTTGGGTACGACAGAAAGTCGAACACTTGATCGCAGCGCTGCGACGACTTGTCGGTGAGGTGCGGCTTTATCAGCTCCTGTATCAGCGCCCGGCAACGCTCCAGAGACCCCGAGAGGAATTCCTGGTCGTAGCTATAGTCCACTTCGTAGAACGAGACGACGGTCATCGCCATCGCTGCCAAGGCCTCCCGGATCTCCTCCAGCTTCTCCGCGTCGCTGGGACGGAATTGGTGGCTGCGTTGCACGAGCCCGATCTGCGAAACGGCGCGGCATAAACGCGCGTTAATAATTAATTATGACACGTACATTGCGTACATTACATCGTTCGTTAATACAATCGCGCTTGGGCAGTTAATTTCCACGAACGACGACGGAGCGATTCGAGCGAATTCTGCCGATCGAGCCGATGTAACATCGAAAATGGAATTATCCCGAATGTCGGAGCATCGATAATTTCCAATAGTAATAAAGATGGGAAATAACATCGACTCCAGATATTTTCCAGATATTTAATTATCTGAGCGAGTCTTTTGTTCGTCGAGCGAAATTGAGGAGAAAATTAGCCGATGCTCTCATCCAAGTATCGATAATTTTTAATATTAAAGAAGAGAGAAGAGGATAACTCTGGTCGACTGGTGGTGTGTGTGTGTGTGTGTGTGTGTGTGTGTGTGTGTGCGTGTGTGTTTCCTTTTTTCCAGATGGCCGGAGAATTTGGCCTCTCGATTTAACGGAATATCTCATGTAGTTGAGCGAAAACGAAAATTTATTACGTTTATTTGAGATTCGGCACTTTGCTGCATCGGCAGAGTTATGGTGGTCACTTGGACACGCGAAAGAATTACCTTGATGGACAGCTTGACGATGTTCTTCAGCACCTTCTCGGGCTCCTTCTTGTCCAGATGCGGGTTACCCTTGGTGATGTTCTCCATCAGTTTGTACAGATTGTCGAGCAACGACGCCGTGGCGTCGTCGATGAGGAGCGACCGGCCGGCCCCGGTGGACACTATGCGGCCCAGCAGCTTCTTCTGAGCGCGCAGCCCCAAGTCGCGAGTGCGACTTCCGGTCCCACCTCCGGCGGTGTACGAGCCGCCGCCGCCTCCGATTCCGTTCGCCGACTGCATCACTGCAATGATTTCCGCACGCAGTGCGATAAGCGATCTTGCGACTGAAAGTTCGCTTTTCGCGATGCGAAAAGCAGGCTTCGAGGCTCGCTGAGACTTGACGATGAAACCGCAGCCGCTGGCCGGCCGAGGTCGGAGGTCGGAGGTTGGATTAAAACATTCGGACTTGTGTGTCATTTATTAACACTGGACGCGAACTTGACACGTTGACACGTCGGGCATGCTGATTTCCGAGGTGGTGAAGTTGTTCCGAGGCTTGGGCAAGTTCGAATGACCGGAATTGCGCGGTGATAGCGCATATTTCATTGAGCGAAATTCCACGCGAGAAGCGGAGCCACTTGAATCGGAGTGACTTTTCGTAACTTTATAATTGATTGCTTGAAAAATTCTGGTCTCACGCCAAGTGTGTCACGCTCGGTGTGTTGGACACGATTAAAAAATGTCGGTTGGCTCAAATAACCAATGCAAGTCAACAATGAAAATTTATCGATCGTTATATACGTATGTCTAAAATAACTACGAATAATTTAGTCAATTGATGAAATTACTCATCGGTGTATTCATCGTCTAATCGACCGAAACAATCATGACCTGTATCACAGGGTATATCAGAAAGACCCGGGAAGACAGGCGCCCCGAGTTAACTTGAAGGGATGACGTTTTTGAAAAAAAATTTAAATACGAAAAAATGACCTGATCTAGGACCTGATAAAATTTTAAGGTCAGCACGACAACGGACAACGACGCGTACTTTCAGGTATGTCAATTATGCCGTTTTACTTCATCGAACGGACGTTTCACGTAGTCACCGAGAGCAGAGAGGAGATAATTGAGGCAACCAGCAGATTGAGAAAACCAGCCGACGGGTCCGCAGTCCGTTTTCTACCAGTTACATGTTCGTCGGACGCAACCGACGTCACACGATCTGTGCGTAAATTAACTATTAATAATAGACGAGACGTGGCGAAATCATCGGGTCGATCACCGGTGACGATCCCTTGGCAATCAACGTGTCAAACTGGCGCGACTGAATTTGAACGTCTCGCTCGATGCTAAATGTTCAGCGGCGATAAGTGGGTCGCCGGTGTATCCTCCGCGGATCTGAGACAGTTTAACAGCCCCCGCGACCGAGAGAAAACAAAAGAATCGTGCGGGCGACGCGAATGTGGCGCGAAGGTGGAAAGTACGGCGACCCGAGCGAAACGCTGCGCGCTGCGATTTCCAGCCTCCTGAGAACGGAGGCGAAAGCGACAGCCGCGGCCCGCGGCTAGGCTAGGCTAGGCCTAGGTTAGGCTAGACTTACCAGATTCGAGATCTTTAGAAAGATCTTGACAGACTTGAGGAAAGAACTGGAGAACTTGTGGTAAGAATTTTTTTTTTCTTTCCGAAGAATATATCAACCCACAAAAAAGTATTGTACTAAGTAAAGTGATTTTTCCCACAGTCTCATATTCTAAGGCTCTAAGCGAAGAAGCCTTTTGCAGGAAACGGATTCCTCTTTCGATCAAGCGATTAAGCTAAAGTGAAGTACTCATCTAAAATTTATTAGATATTTTTCCAACTATTTTTTTCTTGTTTCAAAAGGATTTTCTCTTATCTCAATTAATTTTCGTCTTATCGGAAGAGGAATATGTTGATTTGAATGTCGGCTTCTTTTGTTCAATCATGCTCTACCTCCAGATATGAACGAAAAAATAATCACATCATCTCATGGATCGGAATATTTGGAACGCTTTTTAAAAAAAAGTATATGTGTTGCTGTAACATATAACGAAAATAATTTGCGCCAAAATTTGGTCAAATACTGTTTACAATCTATTGCAAGAAGTTGAATAATATATTCTTTCTTTCAACTATGTTTCATACAATTGGTTATGATGTTGCGGTCTTTGTAGCTACGAAGACCACAACAAAACTGATTGGAAATTTACTTGTTATGATGATCTTGTTTTTGTCATTCGTGCCTACTTATTGTAGAATTTATTGTAGAAGCCAGAAGTACCATCCATATACATATCTTACTTTTCGCTATACACTATAATAACTTTTTCAAATTAACTAGTATAACAAGTAAGAACAAAATACAGTAAGAATAAATAATAATCCTCTTAAAAAGAGATCAAATAATCTGTGTATAAGAGGAGATTTATATTAAAATGAATAAGATTTGCATTATATATGTAACACATAATCCCTCTAACTTTAAGAATAATGTGTTTATAATATTTTCCTCTTGATCTTGGAGAAATCCTCTTGCCATATGTAAGAATAAAATCCTCTAGAATCTAGGCGATTCCACTTGTTCCGAAATTAATTTTTCTTTTTTTTTCTGGGTTAATTGATCGATTGGGGAATATTTAATAGTCTGGATATTTTGGATATTAGCTCGATCGCTGCACGTTAAAATCCGGAGACCGTCCAGCTAAAATCCAAACAAAATCTGGCGACCCTAAGTTGAATCCTTTCTTTAGATAAGGCGTGCGTATGCGTGTGTTAAGTATAAATGTGTTACTCACAAGAAGAACATTCGTCTTGTGTGTCGAACTCACCATCGAACATCGATAGACCGCCGTTTCCTCTGGCTCGTGGCTTGCGGGGATGATGGTAAACAATGAAATGAGAAAGCAGCGAACCGCGTTCGTGCGTTCGTGCGGGTCGGTGCGAGTCGCGACCCAAACTCAGGCAAACGTAACTAAAATCAGCGGACAACTTAAAACAACAACGAATGAGTCGATGATGAGTCGGGATGAGAGCAAACAAACGGCAAATGACATTCGAAGCGCGCGAGGGTGAGCGTCTCTCCTTACCTTGATTGCAGTCGGTGACGGCTACCAGGTGATAGAGTAGCCAGCTCTGCAATTCCATCACGGCCGTGCCCCACGCCACCTACGGAAATTACAATGGAGAACTGTCGGAAAGTCTGGGCGATCTGGGAAAATTACCCTCTCAGTGCATATTCCCAGAATTAATAACGTTTGCAAAAGAAAGAGAGGAGAAAAAATATCCTTGACGAGAACAGGTAGTGTTGGTGAGAGATGTCTGTGAGATTTCACGCGAGTTGCAGATTGGAGATTCGCGTAATAGATAATTTGAGCGACTCATTTCCGTGTGTAACTATATGCTATATGAGAAAATTCCTTGGCCCAAGGAGCATATGAGCTCCCGAATAGACAACAACGCTCCCAAGGAAGAGCAAGGAGGAATGTTTCCTACTCGCCTTCGGCGAAGAGAGATGTTGACGTAACATCGCAACGATCGAAAAGTTTTCGCGCGGGCGCTATCAATTGCGCCTCGTTACCGTCGATTAAGAAGTCGCCGCCGATTAAGAGTCGAGGATACAAATTATTATCCGCATCTGCGATACTCGCGGAGAACTCGCGGAGGAAGAAGTCCTGTTTCTCAGCGGCGGCGGGACGAGATAATTCCGCGAATATCTGCTCGCTCGCTCTCTCGGGGGAAAATAGCCACGGGCCTCGGCTTCACGTTCATTTCGTTCCTCGTAAATATTCTTGTAAAATGCCGCTCGGAATCTTGCATCGCGTCGCCGTCAGCGCCTTGACACCGATAGCTTTCTCAATAAAGTGATACCATCGAGGACATCGGCGACGCCCGCGCTTCTCTCTCTCTCTCTCTCTCTCTCTCTCTCTCGCGCGCGCGCGCGCGCGCGCGCGTTTGTATCAAACCTTCGAAGACGCGCCCGGCCGGTTTTATATATATAAAATTTATATGAAATTTCGTGACAAGGGATAGCCGGAGATCGAAGCGATGCGACGTTTCGACATCGCACCGTGTCGTCGACGAAACTCGCGGCGGCTCGACATGGCACGGTCGCGTATTCGATTGAAAAAAAAAACCCAACTAGAAATTTTTTCTGATTTATCGTCGCACTCACGAGAGAAACGGCTCTGTGTGAAGATGAAACTCGTTACATCACTCAACCTTTGTCTCCTGTTTGTGTTTTTCTTTCATTTCTTCCAACGAAACAGCCGATACAACAGTCCGTCCCGATTGCATTCAGTATTTTCGATTGGTGCAAAAGAATTGGTTTATTAAACGAAAATTTATCTTGCAGCAAGTTGCAGCAAGTTCGGACTGATTAAAAACGAAGCAGGGAAACCTCGTTGGATGTCTGGAAGAAAGGAACAATTATATCCGCTATATTCAGCCGCTAACGGAACAAGATTCCTGTTTTCGGAAAACTGTCTCTTTTGTCGGAAGTTATTATTATTCGGTCATTATGAAAGAGGCAGGAAGATCTCGTTAGGGAACGCGTCTGGTAGCAGAATACAAAAGAGAGTATCGATATCGCTTTTTCATTTTATTCGAAAAATTCAGCGATGCGATATGCTCGTCGGAGGTCGATAATTCCGTCTTCATTTTTATGAACACGACGAACTCTCGAAAACTCTCTCACCGGCTTGGCCTGACGTACGACATACGAACATCTGCGGAAGAGTCATCGAGAAGATGTATTCGCGCATTCTTGCGAGATCTCGCGTTTCGCAGACAGATAGCCCGATTTCGCGCGCGCGTTCTCGGCTGCCCGAACTTCGGCCGGCCTTCGGATTCGCGACGTGCAGAGAGAGGCAGCAGATGGCACGAGCCTCTCCCATATTTGTGCAATTTGTCTCAACGAGCACGAACGCTGTCCTAATGCTGGAAATGAAACGTAATGCGAGCCGACGCGACGCGTTCGTGTCGCACGCCATCCATACTGGCGCGAGCGAGACGCGCGCAGGCACGCACGCACGCACGCACGCACGCACGCACGCACGCCGTCGTCGCCGCGACGGCCGCGTATAAGCAAGCGCTATACCTTTCGCAGTCGGATCGATTTGTCGGAAGGAGCGTCAAGGCGAGCCAGAGACTCTCATTCACCTTTGAACGGGGCGAATGCGACGCGAGTGGCCGCGGCCGGTCGATTAGAGAAAGCCGAGCGACGAAAATTCACCTTCGACCTCGCTGAGGGAAAAATAATCAATCCGCTCCGACCTAACTTACGAATTGTAATTGTTGACGTCAGTCTTTTCTCGGTGTTCTACCGAGAAGGAAAAATTATTATGCTGCAGCGATATGTGTCAATCGTTAGCAATTTTTTAGCAGCGTCTAGAGACCACCAAAGAATATTGGTTGTTCACCTGTGGCTATAATTGTTTCACCATGATCATGTCGTTCGCGCGATCAGTCACAAGTATAAGACTTTCTCCCCGGCGCTACCGGCTTTGTCGCGAAAAGTTCCTCTGTGCCTCGATTTGTGCCTCAGGCGAGATCTCGCTAATTACTACCGACAACCAAGGCCAGTCAACGTCGTCGTACGCAATATCATCGCGCGCGCGCGAGGTGTTGTCGCCGCGCGAACAAGAAAATTTCTCATTTCTGGAAGATTCTCGTTTATACGACAGAGAGAGAGAGAGAGAGAGAGAGAGAGAGAGAGAGAGAGAGGGGGGGGAGAGAGAGAGAGAGAGAATGCGCTGTTGAAAGATTTAGGAAATTAATGACACGAGCGATATAAATTATGCATGAGCAAAGCTTTAAGCAATCAGGACGGAAAAAGAGAGAACAAAAAAGAAAAACGCAGACCTCAGACTGCGAGGAGCGCGGTCCTCCGCGCAGCGCACAAGAATGAAGAAAGAAAAGGAACAAAGAAAGAAGGAAGAAAAAAGAAAGACCCGACGACCCAAAATATATGATTAACATTACTGTTAGAATATTGCATGAAAAATACGACCTTCTACTTTAATTCAATTCTTATCGGAATTTCGATCAACCGCCCGTCCCCCGCCCCGGCCGCACGCGCGTTTCCCTATGCGAGGCTCGACCGTCGGGACTTGGCGCTTATTAATTTCCGTCTATTTTCAGCGATGACTGCCGAAACAGGATGCATTCTTATGTATAATAAAAGCGCGCCTTATCGTGCGCTTCACGCATCCTGGCGATACATGGCACAGCAGCAACACAGCCGAAACCATGAGAGCGATATGAGGAGACACGGGAGAATTCGCGGGGGAGATACGGTGAAAGAGATGAAAATGAAAGGAACGATAACTCGCGTAAGATAAAAATGTCCCAGTATACCCGGTATAACCGGTAACCGGTTGAAGCATAGGTCGTCACAAAAAAATACAATATATAATATTAAGAACAGTTTTGATATAAATATTTGCATTTATTCGAAAACTTAAGATTCCCTTAGAGTAGAGAAAAATTATTTAAACCAATATATATATATGTGTGTGTGTGTGTGTGTGTGTGTGTGTATCTATTATTAATGAAATATTTAAACAAATAATGAAGCGCATTAATGTAGATCAGTGACCGGACAACAGTTGAAATAGGTTATGGATATATTTATCCCCGTGTCTGACCGCAATTAGAAAATTAGTGCTAACGGGAAATTATATAAATACAGATCTGTTATCTGTTAATGAGTTTATCAACGACTGACGACTGACGATTATTTTGCCAAACCATAGGTGCATACTTATTTAATTAATTTTTATTTCAACACAAAAGTATCGAATCGGATGTATTTTTTTCCAACTGATCGTCAAATATTAGAGTTTTTTTACCGCGTTTTATTATAATTATTACTTTCATTCATTACTGTTAAAATAAAGAGAAAATATTTTTTTTCAAAATGGTCGTTCAAAATACTAGGTTGCGTGGCCGGCCCCATTGGGACGTTTACCTTAATCGTCGCCTCCGTCCGAAGCATCGAGTTCATTCCGGGCTTTAGTGTCGTTAATTTTCTCCCCGGGGCCCCGGGGCCACCGGGCGCGAATTTGCAATCTCGCTGATCGGGCGTGTCGCCTGTTAGCCCGACGTAGATAAATACGTAGTATTCTCGACGCTGGCGTGACTATATAATTGCGCGGTGAAATAATTATAGTCGCGGAAACCTATTTTCGCAACGGCCTGTCGCTACAATCTGTCATGCTGATAATAATGTACTCGTATGAATACCGCTGCCGCGAGCGCCTGCTACTTCTCCGCGAAAACGGCGAGAAAGAAACAATGTGGCTCGCGCGCAATGTGACACACGCATGCGCGTCGAAAATAGCGAGAGAATCGCCACTTCCTCCTGCGAGTGTGAGCGAAGGGAGCGGTGAGACACGCGAGAAAATTGCACAAATCCGTCGCCGAATTCGGACTTGCACGGATGCGCGGACTTGCGTCGTGCGTCTCGCGCCTCGCGCCTCGCGCAGGAAACGCTGCAGGAAAGTCCTGCTGAAAAAATTTCACCAAGACCAGTTGGCCAGCTTTTCTCCGCTGTGCGCGCGACGCGCGAGTCGTCGCGCGAGTAGCCGCGCCAGGAAGACGCGCGTTTCGTTACGAATGATCGATCGCGGATCGGGGGCGGACTTTCGCTCTCTCCTTCTCTCTCGTTTCCGTCGACAGATCGGGACTCGGGGGGGCCTCGCTCACGGCTGGCTAGGCGCTGTGCTTTTTAGGAGCACGAGCGCCCAGGCGCACCAGTTAGCACCGCGCCTGCTGCAGGCAGGCCGCGCGTGCTCCTCCTTCAAACGTCGCCGTGACCACGAACGGGGACGCAGACGCAGACGTTTTCGTTTCCGCGAGGTGACACGCCGAGCGCGAGCGCGTCCGCGAGCGCGGTTTTCGATTGTTTTCAGCCTGCTCACCGCCGGCTAAAAACAATCGAGCTATTCTTTCTTTCTCGATTGTCGATCGCCACGGGACGTTTTCGCAAAAGCTATTCTTGCCATCGGCTATCGGCCCGAAAGCAACGTTGCGTAATTTCGCTCGAACGAGCAAGAAATTCGACGGCGTCGAGCGCGTCGAGGTCCGGAGTGACGCGCGAGCGTTCTTTCCCAGCGTTTTATCGCAGCAGCGTCGCTCTATTTTGTCGACAAGATGACTAGGAGGTG